CTTCCTTTAAGTCATGGTTAAAATAGACGAAATGGTGTGAAGCACTTCAAAACAAATGTAAGCCACGCAGCTGTACGTTTTCCCACGATAAAACAAGTTAGCACACTAATGCCTGAGGGTTGTCTCAAGTGGCATCTAGGGGTGAAGGGCTGAAATACCACGGGCTTGTCACACAGATAACAATTCCGGTTACTTTTGGGTCACCATCGTGTGTGTATATATATATATATATATATATATATATATATATATATATATATATATATATATATATATATATAAAAAAGAACATTGAAGTCAACACTCAGAGGCGACAGGCTGTTTCATGCTAGACGCAATTGTCAGGCCGCAAATATAGCACACCTTAAAATATATTTTTTCATATATATATATATATATATGAAGAAATATATTCTTAAGGTGTGCTATATTTATGTGAGAAAGTGCTCAATATCAGAGATAGAGCGTGTGTAAATATAAAAGTGAACATAGAAGTCAACACTTAGAGGTGACAGGCTGTTTCCTGCTGGACGCAATCGTCAGGCCACCTGTATATATATATACTAGCAGCATGACCCGGCGTTGCCCGTGCTTGATTCAAAAATCGTACGACTCATATAGCAATCGTTATCACTTGACTTTAAAGGTGTGCCCTTTGCCGTGCTGATGTAGCTACATGCCTTACTTCTTGCCTATCTCACACTGCGAATTTTTCTAAGATCTATACTAAACATTAAATCTGTTACGAAAAAAGAACTAAACGAAATGAACACAGAACGATCAGCTTTAAAAAAGGACTCATAACTGGAAAAACCGAATGAAAAAAGAATGTTAACTACAAATACCTTTTCACACCCAACCCAGTTCTGTGGAATCAGAATCAACGTTGAGTTTAAACAAGCGAATGAGCCAATTGGAGTAAAGTGCCATGCAGATTTAAATTTTTTCCACTTGTGACGAATGCAGCTATCGATTTTTTTGCAAGCTAGCATGCTAGTTAACATTCACGCTGGCCAAAGAATCTTCCTGCCTATTCGTGGCAGCCAGCTATAGGCTCTCACTCTGGCCAGTACAAAATGGCCGCAAACTACATGAAAACTGCCGTAGAAGCATGAAAAAATCGATTATTTCCACTATCGATGGGAATTGGGAAATGCAAAGTTGGTCTTGGCTTTTCCTCTAACTTGGAGCATGTTCCTGTAAATTTTGGTGCAAATCCGTCGAAAATTGCGGCCGGGCATTCGTTACACACACACACACACACATTCTGCCTCTATATATATATATATATATATATATATATATGTGCGTTGGAATATACGGAAGAAGTAATAAAGACCTTTAGCAAACGCTGCGGCCAGAATGGTATTTTCGTTAAATAAAGTCCACGGTTTTATTGATTTATCGGGGCGTATATATATATATATATATATATATATATATATATATATATATTAAACTTCGTGTGTTTGTGTTTGTGTGTGTGTGCATTTTCATTTTGCCAAGAATGCATACCACTCACACAGAGGGAAACATATATATATAGAGTAAGATGCACATTCACACCCTCTCTCTCTTTCAAAAACACACACACGCACACACACACACACACATATATATATGTTTATATGTGTGTATGAGTGTGTGTGTGTATACATGTATAGACCCGTTTTTGTGTATGTGTGTACATTACAGTTAGAGTGTTAGCAAATCTAGCCAAGAAGCTGTGAGGTATCATCGTGGGATGCCTTCTGTGCGTTTTAGAATAAAATCAACAGAAACAAATGGAAACAAGACACACGCCCCATACACACCCCCCACACTCCCCCACCCCCACCAACACACAAAAGAGCCCATATCCTATCTGTAATATTACAAAAACGAAAAAAAAAAACAAAAAAAACCAAACCAAACCGGGTGCTGTTATCAACAGACACATCTCCCTTTATAATATTTTCTTTTCGACCGAGAATCATAGAAGAACGTCATTCAATCACCTTTTCTTCTATCAACTTGTCCTTCTTTTGTCTAATCTCCTGATCGCAGAAAACGGACCTTCTTCAGTTGAACATCTTTTCCGTTCCAGACAATTTCTTTTGGCTGCTTGAAGACAACAAAGTTTCCTTTTTAGACTTCTTTCTTTCTTTTTACCTCATATTTCATTGTTTCATTAACAATTGAACAAGGTATTTGCTAACACAGACACTCACACAGGTGCACACATACACACACAGAGATCTCAATAAAGTAGATACACATGAAAGGTGTTTATTGTAGATTTACTCATTTCAATTTCTCAGTTTGCTCATTATCTATCTATCTATCTATCTATCTATCTATCTATCTATCTATCTTACTTTCACTCACCCCTTTCTGTCAGTCTGTATTTTCACACACACACATACACACACACACACACACACACACACATATATATATATATATCTGTCTGTCTCATTCTATCTATCTATCTATCTATCTATCTATCTATCTATCTATCTATCTATCTATGTCTCCTTATTTATCTGTCTCACGCATTCTTTCTGTCAGTCTGTCTTTCTTTTCACATCTATCTATCTATCTATCTATCTATCTATCTATCTATCTATCTATCTATCTATCTATCTGTTCATATCTATTTATCTCTCTCTATATCTACCTACCTATCTCAGTCTGTTCATTATCTATCTATCCAAATTGGAAGAAAGGGAAATGTCGGCATGTTATTGAATGAAAATGTGAGAGATTGAAACGTTTGCAGTTTATTGAGTTAAATTGAAAGAACGTGAAATATTTGCAGGTTATTGAATCAAATTGAAAGAATGTGAAATGTTTGCAGGTTTTTGAATGAAATTGAAAGAGATTGAAACGTTTGCAGGTTACTGAGTTAAATTGAAAGAAAGTTAAATCTTTGTAGATTATTGAATGAAATTGAAATAAAATAAAATACTTGAATGCTATCTTGATTTTTCAAAAGAATTGTCAAAAAACGAAATATAAAAGTTACAATTCTACATATTTTGCTGTCACGAAGGATCAATCGTGTGTTCAGAAATAATTACGTTATACCAGAAAGAATGTCAAAATGTGATTTAAATGTAAATATTATTTATCGAAAACGCAATTATCTTCTTTTTCATCAACCACAGCTTAATGGGAAGGCAAATGTTCGATTTCATGCTTACAGAAATTTGTGTTTTTCACTAAAAAATGCTTGAAAAACTTTTCAACTTTTTTAGCTTCTGAATATCCTGTCACTTATGAAATGTTCAAAAAGATGAAAATCTGTGGGTGCCAAATTTACAGAGTATGAAGGAAGTAGAACCTCCAAACCTAACTATTTTATTTTTTTTATTTGGTTTGTTCTGCAGTGTTCCCTTGTATTGTTATGCTAGAGAATTACACCATTACTGTTTACCAAAGCCAGTTGAAATTTTGATTTTGGTATAAACAACTGCAAGTTCCCAAGAATCGTAATGGATGACACCTTCCATATTCCACCATACACAAAGCAAATGCATCTGTGGACAGAACACTGGTTTTGATTTTGAAACTGGTTTATCATTTTATTTCATTTGGTTGTTTATGTTTAGCGGCATATCAACACCTTTATGGGTTATTGTTATACCATAATATCTATTCTATTGTAATGGACTCTCCCACAGATAATAAGTAGTAGTAGCAGTGGCCAGCTGGGCTCAGTGGTGTTGAGCGAGTCAGTCAATATCGGACATTGAAGTACCAACCATCACAACTAGATTGCTGCGTTATTAACTCTTATTTCAAGTTCCTAATGTTTTGTACGTCGAACCTAATTTAGGACGACTTATTGAAATACAAGCCTCCACTGTGAAAGCTACTCTACAACAGTTATTTAATGCCGAAATATAAACATTTTATATGAAGTTTTTATTTATTTTATTTTTATTTTTTGATATAATAATAATTTTAGTGATACAAATTACTAATTAATCCATAGTTTGGGGAAGAAAAAGTGGGTTCAAGGGTTTTCCAAAGTTATTTATATAACCCTACTCTCTTTCAGTTACAAGTCTCCTAGGCCCCGTTGGTCTATTCTCGTTTTCTTGGCGTGCAGCCGCTCAGTCCGTTTGTTACGATATTTCAGTCCTTGGATGGCTATTGTATAAGGAGTGTTATACAGTTTCCAAACTTGTTTAAAGATTGGTGCCAGTATAAGACGTCGATCGTCCAGTCTTGGTTCTTCAAGTGTGATTCTTACTGACGAAGAAAGGTCATTCTTCTTTTAGTCAATAAGCCGTGGTAAGATTCTTGTTGACAACTGGGCTGACTGGATATAAAGTCAAGCTCTCACCGAAGAAATAATAATGCCAATTTTGGTTAAATATAGACGATTTAATGAAGATGAATAAAATAATTTATAATCGAATATATTTGTCATCTGTTAGCACAAAAAGATTAGAAGTCGGCGATTGGAATCTCGATCTATGTATTCAGCAAAGTTCTGTCAGAAATTCAAGTGAATATTGTGTCCTTTCCTCGTTCGGGTGTGCAATTGCGTGTGTGTCTGACAACTGGTCTGTCTTTTATCGTCCCGGTCCGTCACTTGTGTTCCAGTCTGTTTATGTCTCTAAGAATCGTGCTGAATTTATACACAAGTCTCTGCCCACATATCAAACTGTTCACATGTCGAAGTGACTCATTTTTCTGTTGCTTGAAGTCGGAGTTAAAAGACCAAATTTCATTCAGAGCCATTGCTCCAAAACCAAAACATATTCGGTTGACATCAGAAACAGAATCAAAAATTCGAGGTTACACCTGCCTTGGAAAATTATTAAAGTTTACACACCAATCCATTCCAAATCATCGCTTTGAAATTTTAAAACTACGACATATACAATAAAAAGTCACTTTGTTATATTTGCACGTAATTGAATATAGCAAACCCATCTGGAATTTTAACTGGGCTCTTCGATTAAAAATTCCAAGCCACTATTCATTACACCACTTGCACATTCAAGCTTACTGCACCTGATATTCAAAAGCGGTCACCCATCTAGATACAGACCTGGCGCGACGTTGCTTAACTTCAGTGATCGTACGGTAACTGGTGTTTCAATGTAGCCATAATCCTTTCATTTTTGCTATACCAACTGTTTTCGTTTTCTCTTGACATGCAACATTTTTCATTCACCTGTAACAATGCAAAAATGAAAAGTTGATATTCCTGGTTCTAGAATGTTCTAGCTGGTGGTGTGGTGTATTCAAATCTCAAGCAGAAGTTCAAGATGAAGCCAAATTCTCTCTTTACAAGTTTCCCAATTCGACTCAGATATTCATCGACAGTTGATTATTAAGTTTTTTCTCCAAATCTCCAATGCTTCAATATGGATTCAATAGTTTTTTTTTCAGAAATACTTCTATCCGTGTGGGTCTTTTTCCATAGCGATGCCTGTCGCGTATTTCGCAGTCACATATTTTGTAAACTTTTAAACTATAGCCGATTTGTATGAGCCTTCATTGTATCCGTATACACTTTGCAAATATTTTAAATGCCTTTCAGAATTCTTACAGTAAGTAAATATGTTTCATTATTAGTTCATAATCCGCCATTAGTTTAAACATTACCTCCGAAATTCACTACAAACGAATTATAATCTAATTTCAGTCGCAGTTTCATATCCATTCAATCGTCGGCCGACGTTTTCTTGGTTGACTCATAATTCATAGCGGTGATATAGGTAAATACTTTCTGAACACCCTGAAAATCAGTTTGGATTTATTATTAGATGAATTATTGTGGACGCCTCTTTACTGACCCGTTTCGTTCCGAAAAGGAGCTTTTTTAGACAATAGTTCTTACTGATCGAGCCAGATATATAAAAATAGATGAAAATAATGTGTCTATGCATTAGAAATACTTCAAATACTGTTTAGTTTATGAGAACCGAGACATTCAAAGAACAAGGTAGAATGATCCCACTTTTCCTATGGAGAAGTTTACAATCAAGGATAATCTGCAACAAATCCGCAAACTCGCAGGACAGAGAATGCTGGCAAAATATTGTCGAATCAATACACAATGTCACTGAAGAACATGTTAATTCATGACCTGAATTCGAAACAGTTTTGATGATGATGATGATGACATTCAATGTATACTAATGTTAACTTAAACCTACCCTATTCAAACTTTTATCGTTATTTTTATTATTTTTATTTTTTACGTAAAATAGTTCATTGTAAATTCATTTGTCACTATTTATTTCTATTGCCCGCTATTGCAGCTACTAGATTGTGACTCCACGATCGTTAGTAAGCAGAGCTGATCGAATATAAAGAATAATAAATCCAATAAGATTTGTGTTCGAGTCTAGGTAAAAGACAAGTTTTCTAAGCAGCCAGGTCGTACTATAAAGAAACCCAGCGGAATCTTATTCTTCTTGTTGATGAGAAATAAAAATGAAAACAATACTAAGAAAAAAATTTATAGGTATTATTCCCGAACAACGCAAAGAATTGCTAATAAAACTGGATTTATTTGAGGCTAAAAATTATAATAATGTATAAATTATACTTGAAGCAAACCATCTGAATGCAGATAAAAAATGAATTCAGTGAATACTGAAATAGAAAAAAGGCGTAAGAATAGTTTGCGTTTTCTCACCAGACATACTCAACCTTTATAGCGAGACGCTTATCATTTCCTCGAGAATTTATTAATGGCGGACACAACCGAAACAACATAAAATATGCAGATGACACAGTGTTGACAGCATGCAAAGAAAGGAAACAGCAGCATTTTCTAGAAAAGGCATGAAAGGAATGCGTTAAGAAAGGATTAAATATCAGTTGCAAGAAGACAGAATATATGGCTGTCTGCAAGAAGAAAGGCTCAAGATGCGAACGGCGGATTCGAGAAGCTGAAATCAAAACCAGTACGAGAAGAGTTTTAACAGAGGACAAACAAAATGTGGCACCGATATTCGAAGGTGCATTGTAATAGAGAAAGATGCTTTCCAAAAGCTAAGCAAAGTATTAAGAAACAGGAAATTTTGGTTATAAATAAAGCGTACTAAATTGTTATGTAATATTAGTATTTCTCTTTAGAAGTGAATGATAGAAAATCTTATCACTTATCTTAGCGACTTGAGGCAACAGAAATCTGGTTCTATAGAAGGATGCTGATAATACAATGGACGGTACATGTGAGCAATGGAAACCCAAAATGCTTATACTTAGGGACAGTCTCAAAGAATTTGGCACTGACAGGACATTGAATGCAGGTGGGGTAGAGATAAACAACGAATAAACTATTTGACGAGCTTTGCTGAATTAATAGCAGAACTAAAAGTAGTAAGTATGGTAAAAAGAGAAATCTTATTTAGAAATGCATAAGACGGGAAGTTGTGGAGGGCCGTGGTCGTTCTTGTCTTAAAGAGATACGGCAAGTCCTTAAGAGGCATTCCACATGATTAGAGCAAATGCAAATCTGTGGCAATACAGAAGTCACCGTGATTAAAATCAGCAATAAATTTGTGAAGTCTACTAGGAAGTAAGAAAACTTGTTGTCACTTGATTGCATGAAATTTTTTACATTATTTACATTATTCGGACTATTGTCCTCATCTTTGTCGGCATATTTATTATTCTACGCTTCGGCCTTCTTCAGGTGGTTGGAATGTCGAACTGAACCCTTTATTTCGCTCATTGGGGTAGACTGTTCTTGAGGACACATAGCACAGTGGATAAAGGCGTTAGTTAGATCCAGTGACAGGACCAAAAGAGTGTGAGTTCAATACCCGGTTAAGGCAGTGGAGAACTTTCAGAGGGAAATTAACAGGACATAACTGATAAATGGCATCCAATAAACATGGCACGTGGAACTAGATAAACCTTTAATAATAAAAATAATAATAATAAATATGGCGACAAAGATGAGGGCAATAGTCCGAATAATGTAAATAATATACATAATACCTCATCTCAGAAATATAGACAGACAATGAAATTTTTTGTTAATTGTATGAAATATATGCTAGCTGTATAAAATATATGAAATGTATACTAGCTTTATAGAAGCGGAAGGAATAAATAATAAAATACAGACATGATGTTTTATGTTATGTATACGAGAGACAAACCGTAGCAAATCTACGTTCATGCGTATTTACCTGGACGCACACACATACAACACCCACGCACACAAACACCACACACGCACACAAACACCACACATGCACGTACGCGCGCGCACAAAGACGCGTGCGCGCGCACACACGCACAGACATATATATATATATGTCTGTCGTAATGGATTTGTAAATATGTCCATTTATATTACGATAATAAATAGTTATGGGAGGTCGGTCTATCTAATTGTCAATAACACTGTGCTACTAACTACTAACAAAGTTAGAAGATTGCAAAGAGCGAATCTCCCCAGACGGAAATATAGTTTGCTTGAAAATCAGCTTTTCCAGCCTCCAGCCTTATATATATATATATATATATATATATATATATATATATATATATATATATATATGTAAATGTTCGAGTATTCAGAAATGTTGCCAGGAGTGAACCATCTTTGTTCCATTCAGTGGATAAGCCTACAGATATGCAGATCGATCGATAGATGAATTTATAAATAGATTCAGAGACGCTCAGAAAAGTACTGACGCGAGTAATGAAGTGTAAAAATAGCGAAGGGCAAGAAATAGACGGCGTGGAAATGAAGATATTTCTTTCAAAGAAATATTTATTTGGCTTACAACAATTTATGTAAATGAGAATAATTACAATAGTCTGAAAGCTACGGAATGTTGTTCAAATATAAGTATTTTATTTACATTGATTATTCCGAAATTATCGATCGCATTATGAAATAGAATTGCGTTTATGATTGAATAAAGGAAGCTTTGTTATTTAGACCTTTCCAATGTTTAGGTAATCATCTAATAATAATCAAAATGAAAGTAGGTAAGGATAAAAATAAAAGCAATAATCAACCAAATAATAATTTATTCAAAGAAATGACATACAGAATTGGCCATGAAAACCTTAATGAAACAACAAACAGAAAAGTAATATTCTTAACTTATTTAGTTTCCATTCTGTCTCAAGACCAAAATCAAGTTATTGTCAGCAAAAGAAGTTAATATGAGAATTTCTTCAGAGCTAATGGTTTCACAAGCAATTAATATTGCTTGCAGCCCTCATAAACACTCCTCTTGGCATTACTTCAAAGGTTCTAAATATATCGCCGCGACGCTATAAAATGCCTTAATTAATCTAAGTATTCGTTAGTTGCACTAGCAGCGTAGATTTGAACGTTGTCGTTCACAAAAAAGACTATCTTCTACTTGGCCCTTACGAATTCACTCTCGACAGAAGAAGTCACTTCCACTCTATTGTCCAGATACCAGGAATCAGCAAGTTGTTTTGATGATTACTGCTCAAAAACATAACCATTCAATTCCTTACTGATGCCTCCATCAAATCGGCTTAGATTAACACCTTCAGGCATCACTCATTTTATCAACCAGCACGGTTATCTAGTGTTGCCCTGCCATTAATAACAATCTATTTCTGTGGCCAAATTGTTTACAAATTCTCAATTATCAACATTGCGGTCTCTACTCCCTTAAATATATTTAATTTGGAACCTTTCTTACGGGATTAACAATTGCTCACATTCGGTGAGAAAGACAGTATAGTAAAATTAGTTGATAGTGAACGTGCACTGAAGATTTTTTTTTGTTTTCGAATAAGAAAGCAAGCTTCATTGATTAGTTTTGTTTTGTACGTCGTATCAACCTTTTGCAGTATATTTAAAGTCAGAAAATATTTTTAGATTGTAAGAAAGTTTTGGAGATAATAATGATTTTTACTAATACAAGCTATACTAATTAACCCATATTTGGGGGAGAAGAGTTGGATTCATACATATTCGAAGCGTATTTCCGTGTAAGTGTATATAACGAAAACGACTGGAATTGGAACTCGACTCTCTGATTTCGTTATCAATTACACCATCTACATTTCCAAGCTTACAGGAGCTCGTATTCCGAAGTTGTGAACCATCTAGGTACTGACCAGACTGGACGTTGCTTAACTTTGGTGATCG